AAGAATTTAACGTCTTTTCGTAGTAGAATATTCGCGAACATTAAAATAGAAGAATTCGAACATATTTTCTTTCAAGAATATTCGTGAACATTGAAATGATATAAATACGCTGTGATTTGGAGGATAAAGGACAGTAGACAGTATTCAGTAGTCAGTATGTCAGTATTCGGTGGTAAATAGAAAGTATTTACTATTAAGTGTATTAGGTGGATATTAAAAATTATATTATGTATATGGAGATTAGAAAAGATTAAAAATTATATTATCTATATGGTGATTGGAGATTGGAAGAGAAAAAAAGATTATATATCGACCCTCCCAACGAAAACTGTCGTAACTCAAGATCGCTCATTCCGAGATAATTGCGTTTAAAAATAATTGTGAAAAGTGACGTTCTGTAATTTTTTAATTATCACTACTATGTTTTTAATTTTTTCACTCAGTAACTATTTGTGCAATCATAATTATTGCAAAAGAAATAAAACTTTCATAAGGTTATTCGATTTTGGATTTTGAATGAGTTACTACAGTCTTCGTCGACAAAAATTTCAGTTATAAAAACATACTACAATAATAAAACAAAAAAAAATTAACAAATATTTTATTTTTAGCAATTTGTTTAAAATGGCATTATAACACTAATTATAATAATAATTAACGACTAATTGCTACTACATACACTGCTATTGTTCAGATTCGGAACCAGTTTCTTGATCTGTTGAGCACTCTGGTGGAATGTCTTCATTAGCAGGCCGCAGGGAGTTATAAAACCCATGGTACATTGCTGGTATCAAATTGGCTTTACATAAACTTAATAGACCATTTAATTTTTTACTGTCAATTGGTAAAAGACCTTGGTATAAACGTGGTAGTTTATATTCTTGGGGTTTACGTAATTTTGATGTTGCGATGTCGAATCCTTTGTAATTTTCTGCAAAACTGTAGGTAAAATAAACTTTATAAGGATTCTTCGGATCGAAGTGAATTTCCCTAATTTTGCTTATCTTTACCACCTCCGCAGTGTTAGTTTTCTTCCAGTTCTGTTTCTGAACCATTGGTTTAAAACTTAAAAAGTCTTCTTGAGACATTTCCTTCACTCTATACTGTGGAGAAGTAACTTTTGCCATCTTTATGAGGCTAATCCACTGGTCAGGAGTATAAATATTCGAATGTCGTTTCTTTGCAACTTCTATAACAGCGTGCATGCTGTTATTTTCGTTCTGGGTATGACCAATCTCAAGAAAACGGTGTGTTATTTCCAGATCCAAAGTCACCGATGCATGAGCAAACATCGAAAAAATAAAACGATTGCGGTTTTGCCCTCCGCAATTGTCGGAGTATAACACGACTTTTCGAATGCCATCTCGTTTTGCACCTTTTAAAAAATACCATAAACAGCTTGCAATTTTATTCGGCACCCTTTTTGATATTTGTTCATGCCATACGTAGCAATATCCTTGATTATTGCCCAAGTCGTAAATAGTAAAATTATAAGTTGCAAGCTTACTCTTATAATAAAAGTTACTTACCTCTGACTTGGGTGTTACTAATACTTTCTGCAAAGCGAAGCATATTGTTAAAAACGATTTATCACTTTTGGACAATTCCTTATTAGCATCTTTCAGATTTCTAACAGATTCTTTGTTTAAAACATGGTATTGTAATTTTCTTCCATTGATTGAGTTCTTTTCTCTGTATCTGTATTGTTATACGCACTGCATACTGAACACTGATCTTTCTTAGGCTTGAAAAATGCAATGTTGAATTGTGAGTTTAAAGTATCCCTGTATTGTCTAACTGTAGCGACGACGCCCCATTTTTTGAGTTTGGCATATTCCACATACATTCGGTGCATTACAGATATGTTTAAGCCCTCTTCTAAGTACATGCGTTTTGAGTTTTTCCTTGTATAATGAGAAGGTACAAGTGGAAATAATTTTATGTGTTCTACAATGTTATCTTTTACACTATCCGGGATCTTGTGCGGTCTAGTATTATGTTTTCCTCTCTTATCTGCTTCTATGGTACCAGCTTCACTAATTTTTTTCAATGCAGTGCTAACAAAAGTTTCAGAAATCGCAAGTGTATTTAAGAACATTGTCTTGCAAATTTGTTTCTCGGTATTACCAATATTAAATTTATATTTGCGCGAAAAGTTTCTCCTAGAATTGTTTACAGTGATTTGCGTTTTACCTTGTTGTGTCACGCACCTTGCAAGAAAATCCCACTGCCTGGTATGATCTCCAAGTTTCCAAAATTCGTCAAAAATTACTTGTCTTGTTTCAAAATTTAATATGCTATTACATTTATATCTGCAAATATCCTTACAAGGAACCTTCATCTTCTTTGCAGGTATAAACTTATCCTTGCGGTTCTTATGTTCCAGACCGCTATTAAATTCTCTTTTGACTTTTTTGTCAATCCATTTGTTCTCATTTCTAACTCGATTTCTTCCTATCTTAACCTTTTCTGATACTTTTCGCTTTCTTTTTGATGATGGTCTGTCTAATGACACATTACTTCTCTTGTTATCAGATAGATTCAAATTTTCGTTTTCGGCTTCTGATTCTGAGGGAACGTAGTTTGGATCATCATCGGAATAATTAGCAGGAAATATGTTGGTATTAATGTTAACGGTATTATTGTTGTCGTTACTTTCATTTTCGTTGTCTAAAACAAAAAAAATACAGAAATTTAAATTAAAAATAAAAGAAAGATTTAAATGATTAAATACCTAGATTGTTCCTTGATTCAGAGGAAACATATTTCGGATCATTATCGGAATAATCAGAAGGAAATATATTGGTATCAATGCCAACGGTATGATTTTCGTCGTTACTTTCATTTTCGTTGTCTAAAACAAAAAAAAAATAAAAAAATTCAAATGAAAAAAAAAAGAAACGTTTAAATTATTAAATACCTAGATTGTTCCTTTGAAATTAACTTTTTTACTGTCCATGCTATGCACAACATTCAGATTTTAAATAGATAAATAGATAAATAAAATGACAGCAACTTACCTGGTGCTATTTGTGTATTATTATTAACAAGTAATCCCAAAATTCGTTTAGTTCTCTGCGACATTATTATAAATTATTATAACATTAAACAAGATTCTCTTTAGCTCTTCACCTAATTGTGAACGACATTTAACATAACCTATAATTTTATTCGCTTTAAACGTATAGCCGTATCTCGGTCCCTTCTCACAAATTTACAGCGAACACTGTAGTAACTCCATAATACTACTTTCTTCGCGGTAAAGTACAGAGAGCATTGAGATACTACATTTACATTAACGTATATTGTGTTGTCTATATTATGATTTTAGTTATTATAGTATTCTCTGGAATAAATTTCGGTATTATAAAATTTGATTATGGTAATAACTCAAAATTGAAAAAAAATGAGTTACGACAGTTTTCGTTGGGAGGGTCGATATATATATATATATATATATATATATATATATATATATATATATATATATATATATATATATATATATATATATTTTATACCGGTATGTAGGCGGTTTGCCCTTCTGGTAGGGATCTATGGAGGAGTATCACCGAGACGCAAGCCCTCAACTATTGTTTTACTGCTCCACCATAGGCGGATCAGACACCAGCATATTCTAGTCTAAGCCGCAGATTCATCTAGAATTTTAAACTGCTGCGTTAGCCTTTTTGTTTTCTGTACACCGAGCTGGGGATCGAACCCACATCCACTGAACCACTCGCAGTGAAGCGATTGAGAACCGGCCGCCCAGCCCGCTTGGCTATCTGACCGAATTTTTATAATATTTCTTTCAGAGACTTAAGATAAATTTCTGACAATTTGTTTTTTTTTTCTTTAGGGACTCTGTTATTTCCAGCTAGAAAATAACTTAGAATAATTTTGTTAATAGTTTATTTCTCTTTATGTACCGACATATTTTCGGATGTAAAATAACTTAAGATATTTTTTTAATATTTATTCACTTCTAGGGACTTTGAAATATTTTTGGTATAAAAATAACAGCATAATTTTTTAATATTTTATTTTACTTTTCGGACTTTGAAATATTTTGGTATAAAAATAACATTTTTAGGTCTCATAGACCTAGTTGCAGATTCTTAGTTTTAGTTAACATTTATTTGCATTTGTTTTAAAACGATATTTTCCTCTAGCTTGTGGGCATATACAGCCTATATGTCCACGGACCGTGACCCTTACCTGCTCCGGTCTATTTCAGCTATGGATAGTGCGTCTGGACCACCTTCCCTCATTCCCGATGGTTCAGACCAGCGACAATAGATCGTGATTGGCAGAGATAATCAGACCCATGAACTGAAGAGAAGAATTGGTCTTGGGTGGGCAGCATATGGAAAACTGAGAGGAACTTTTAAAAGTGAGCTGACCACATGCCTCCTACCAGTGATGACATACGGAGCAGAAACACTTACTCTAACAAAACCTAGGCTACCAAACTAAGAGTCACACAGAGAAGAATGGAGCGATCCATGTTAAGAGTACCTCTGGGAGACACAATAAAAAACGAAGAGGTCAGGAGAAAAACCAAGGTTACTGACGTCATCGAAAGGATAGCCAGACTAAAATAGAGATGGACAGGACACATAACTAGTACAAAGAGGTTATTAAAAAATAATTAAAAAAAACTGGATGAGAGTGGCGCAAGATAGATGGGGTTGGAAACACGAGAAAGAGGCCTATGTTCAGCAGTGGACTTTTGAGGTTGGATGATGATGAATAAATGTGATAGTTAATATGTGCCAAAATCATTTTTCAGATGTGCCTTTAAGATAAGACGTTCCTGAGACACCCGATGAAATAATTAGCACCCGATGTTATAGCTATTGATTCCACTGTTACACATTACTAGGCATGCTGACCCAATATTTTTTGTTTTATTAACCCTTCTTCTCAATGCCTTGAGCGATTCCAACGGTTGTGCTGATTTAATTTTTAAGTCAAATTATTTAACTAAAACTACAAACTTGATAAAAAATTTTATTAAACAAAATAAATTTATTTATTATTAAAATATGTTTAAATAATTAATATTTAAATAAAACAATACTTGACTTTGAGCGGTTTAGGAAGCTGAAACAGAAATAAATGAAGTTAGTTACATATCTTTCCTATAAATTAAGTAGAAAATATTGTTAGTATAAAGAAAAATAGGTAAATAATTTGTTAAGATGATAATAGTCGATTTTTCTTTCATGATAGTGAGCTGTTTAAACTGCAAATATTACTAATTTTAAATTTTGGAGCTTAAACGTCCTGGACACTAAAATTGTCCTAGACACTAATTTTTAGTTTCATTATTATTTCTTCTAGTAATGGAAATGCATAAAGAAAAATTGAACTCAAAATATACAGGAGTGATTAATATACAACTTAGATTAACATACATTGGGACTCCTTCCTTTAAAAACATGGTAAAAACAGCAACACAATGTTTGAATGTATCAGTAATTAAATGCCTAAATAGGTACAAAATAAGCGGTTACAAAATCGAAGATAATATTTAATATGGTTGCCTTTATACAAAATATTAAAAAACAAGGAATGGATAACCAACTTACACCTCGAAACTTTTCTTCTTCTTCTTCTTCTTTTTATATAGACATGACTCTGTCTGTTTTTCAATGTGCCTCCAGTAAGTTATTATTCCATCGTTTTCGTGGCCTTCCTACTGATCGTCTTCCTATTGTGGAACCGTCTTTACTACTCTATTTGTTGTCATTGGGCTTATATGATCGTTCCATTCTACTCTTCTATTTGTCTGTCCGTGTTCTGTCCCATTGTGTCTTGCCATAAATTTTTCATCTCTGCTGTTTCTATCATCCTTTTTGTCCTCTCTGTGTCAGATCATGTTTCTGCCACGTATGTCATTATTGGTCGGATGACTGTTTTGTAAATTCTGCCTTTCGTTTCTGTCCCGATATTTTTATTTCTCCTTATTGTTTCATTTAGACAGACTGCGGCTCTGTTTGCTCTATTCACTTGATCTTCCACTTCGGTTTCGAGCTTTTCGTAGCTAGATAATGTGATGCCTAGATATTTAAACTTGTTCTATTATCTGACCTTCCAGTTGCAATTTACATCTTAGTAAATTTGCTGTTGTAAGCATCCATTTTGTCTTTGTTGGGGAAATTAACATGTTAAATTTTCTGGCGGTTATATTAAATTGGTGCAACATACGTTGTAAATCATCTTCACTTTGAGAGAGTAGTATTACGTCGTCTGAATAGCAGATTATTTCAAGTTGTTTTTCTCCCATTTGGTATCCTTTTTTTTACTTTTTTTTATTATTTCATCCATAATCAAATTGAACAATAGAGGACCCAGGGAATCTTCCTGTCTTATTCCATTGCCAGCTTCAATAGGGTCGGTTAGTTCTTCTTCTACTTCTACTTTTATTGTGTTGTTTTGGTAGATATTTTCGATCGTTTTGATTATTCCTAGAGGTATCTCTCTTGCATACAGTAAGTGGATAACGTCTTTTAATTTGACCCGGTCAAATGCCATTGTAAGGTCCACGAAACATAGATATGGCGGTTTGTTGAATTCTAATGATTTCTCTTGGACTTGCCTCATTATAAATATAGTGTCGATGCACGATCTTCCCGACCTAAAACCTTGTTGTTCTTTTGCTAGTATTTACACCTGAAACGATTAACGGAATTCGCAGAAAACCTTTCGTTGTAGTAAAAGGCACGGTAAACTACACTTCTTCTTCTTCTACGGCACTACAGCCCAAAATGAGCCTTGGCCTCCTTTATTTTTGGCCGTGTCTTCCCAGCGCTTTCTTGGCTTTCCAACTGGTCTCTTTCCCTGCATTCTGGCGTTCAGTGCTCGTTTTGGTAGCCTATCCTCTCCCATTCGTATCACATGTCCGGCCCATTGCAATCTTTGTATTCTAATGAAGTTTGACAGGGGTGTTTCCTTATACAGTTGATAGTGCTCGTTGTTATATCGAATTCTGAAGATTCCGTTTTCCCTCACAGGTCCTAGTATTCTCCTCAGTACTTTTCTTTCGAATGTGTCGAGTTTGTTTTTGGATGTTTCTTTCAGGACCCATGCTTCGCTGCCATAACATGCTATTGGCCGAATTAAAGTTTTATATATTCTCATCTTTGTATTTCGGTGGACACTTCTAGACCGAAATGGTCGTCTCCGCCTGTGGTGACTAATGGGTGGATTGAATAGCTCAGGAGTCACAATTGCCGGTCCTAAGCCCGGGTAAAGGAGGAAGGTTGGGCAGTGGGCTAACAACCCACTCCCGGAAAAACACACTGTTATGAAACCTAAACTACACTGGTGTTCTCCATAATGTTTAACACTTTGCTAAATTTTAGGTATAAAATACATATATGTGTCATTAACCTCTTGTTCATAGTTTTGCATGTTTTGTTACATTTTTTTTAATAAATAGTATTCTTGCATACTTGTATGTGTGTATGACCTTATATATTCTTTTCGTTATATCCGTTCCTCCTAAATTAAATAATTCTGCACATACAGGGGCCTTGCTATTTTTCTGCAGTTTAATTGCCCTTGCAACTCTTCTAACGTTTGGCGGTTTTTTGGTATTTCATTCTCTTCATTTTCTGTCTCTTTCAATAGCTCATGTTCTGTGAATTCAACCTAATCATCGTAAGAGTTTTCGGTTATGTAGTCGTTTTTCAAAATATATTTTCTAAGTTTCTTTAATTTCATTACTGTTCCTGGTTATTTGGCCGTTTCCACTCCTGCACAGTTTAGTTTTTGTTTTGTCCTTGTTTACTTTTTTTGATAAATTTATATGCATTATGTGTTTTGTCTTCTCTAAATTGTTTATTTACGTGTTTTCTCTTCTTTTGTTTACACATTTTATCAGCTATTCGTCTTTTGTTTTAAAATACCAAATTTCTTTCTCTAGTTTGTCTAGTAAAATATATTCTATATGCTTCTTTTCGTTCTTCAATTGCAGCTTACACTCATCATCAAACCATTGGTTATTTGTCCTTTTTTGTTCCTAGCATCGATGTTGCTGCAGTTAATGTGGTTTTACTATTAGGTTCCACTGGTTTTCTAACGATCTCTCTTCATTTTCTTCATATTTAGTCAGCTTCCTCTTTATTTCTTCTTCAAATTTCTTTTGAGTTTCTGGTATTTTCCCAGATCTAGAATTTCCTTTCTTGGTTGAATCTCTTTTGCCTGTCGGCTGATCCTACATCTGAAGTGTACCTGAACTAGTAGGTGATCTGAGCCATAGCCTGCACCTCGTCTACTTTTTACGTCCAGAATGCTTGTTGCTGATCGCTTTCCTATCAAGACGTGGTCTATTTGGTTCACAATATCGCCACCAGGGGATATCCAGGTATCGTTGTGTATGTTTTTGTTGAGAAATATGGTAGAACTTATGATTATGTTTTTACTAGCTGCAAAGTCAATAAGATATTGGCCGTTTTCATTCGTGTCTCTTCCAATAGAGTTGGATCATGAAATATTGTTGATCAAAGTTGTATCACATGTTCTTTCAATTTAAACTACATATAACGATTTTTAACAAATAATTTATGGTTTTAATACTACTTAATCAGCTGCTTTACTTATTCTTGTTACCATAGACATATTTTCGTAACTATACTCATTTCTATTTTTTAACCACTTTATTACCATTTTTCAGCAATTCTTGTTATAATCATGCATTGAGTCAGCCATGAACTAACTATACGACTTGCACAATAATATTTTACAGTCAAAATTGACCAGAAAAAATAGTGTAATACGTTTGAGTAATATATTGATGATAATATTTTCCATCTAGAGACCGCTCCAGAAGGATCAGTGGATTGTGTGTACAACAGAAGCTGTTGCGCAAATTTGAACGCATGTATATAGAGCCTATTGGATTAAATAAGCCTAATAGGGCCCACACATTCGTAACCCAATTTCGTAGACTAGGGGAGTTGTACAAACCATTGTACAGTGTATTGTGTTGTAGAAATTCAAAATTGCTTAAAGTTAACTTCAGCTTCTTTTGTAAATATATCATTGTTTCAAGTTTTAAACCTTCAAAAATGCATAGTGTGTGGATGATCCATTTGCACAACAATTTGTTATGCAACGTATATTTGAACAATTTCAACGCAGATGTATGAGACCTCTTAAAAGCAAAGAACTGTGGGTGAAAATGCAGCTAGAAAAGTGAACTATATAAGTAGACCGAAAGATCAAATAAAAATTTTGTATAACGCAGATGTGCAAGTGTTGTTGTTTTCGATACCATACATAAAAGAGTTAGTATTAAGCCTTAAAAAATATACATACACCCTAATATTCTATTCAGCTGTGGGTCGGACAAAGGACAGTTTCAACATCAACAACGTGTAACAGACGACATGCTATCAAGTAGACTTTTTTTGGGCTCCGATTCTGGTTTTGTGAACTCTAAAACGATAAAAGCATGAAATGTATTGGTCAGTGTGATTAATTTATCTTTACGTATAACATATACAGCATATGTTTCAATATAGGCACACAAATAAAAGAAAAGCAAAAGAAAGAGTATCTAGACAAGAAAGAAAAATAGGCGTCCCCATTAAAAATAAAAAAAAACAGGCAGCATCAAAGCAATACTGGTTTATGAAAGCAAACAAACACTTAAAACACAGAAACTCCATATAAATTTAGGATTTGATAAGCAAGAGAAATAACTCGAAAACAAGTAGCTGAATCAAAATATAGAAACAAATAATACAAACCTATAATTTGTTGTAAACTGTCTTCCCTGAAGTTCTCCTTGAGATTCTCATTAACTCCTAGGCAAGTGTTAATCACAGATTTTTTAAAATTCCAAAATATAACTTTTTGGTTCCTAATGTTAAGTTCATCTTGCAGAACGTTAAAACTCTGAAAACGAAAAGAAAATAGTTATAAAAATTAACCAAAGTGTATTTATGTAAAGGTTTGGTTACAATGTTATCATTTTTATATAACATTTATTTTTTTTTTTAATTGAGACTTTGCTTGATGCAAATGCACGCATCCCAGTGGCTGATAGGGGATGTTCTATGTAAAAAAAAGGACAAGTGTGATTAAGGCATAACCAAACATACACCTAACTGAGAACATGGCATGGAGATTGCAGCTATGTCATTACTGTTATCAATTGAACAAGCAGGTTATAGGTGAAAAAGTGTTGCCTTAAGCGATGACCAGATGGTTGACGAACTCTGGGGGATTATAGCGCTAGCAGAGTAGGGGTGCATTGGTGTGCCCGACAGTATTCCAGAATAGGACTCAGAAATGAATAGCTCTTCTGAGCTCATAACTATTCTCTTGTAGCTACTTTTAAAATCAGGTGACTTAAGCACATAAAGTAAAAAAAGGAGGTGTCCCATTACCCAGGGAATCCAAAGTAACTTTCAGTATAAAGTCTCCCCATTCGCTATGTCCTGCAATGGGGAGGGATGGTTGGTTATAGCTTGGGGGTCAGAGAGGTACCACTCCATTATGGAGTGTAACCGGTTTGATCTTCTGACATGTGGCCCACTGTTCCATTGAAACACACATGTGACTTGTAGCTGGGGTTCAACAAAAATTGTTGTGTGTGTGCCTGTGGAAAGTAAAATTAAAGGTAACAGATATAGAGAAAGAAGAACCTCTTGGTTTTATATTCTGAGAGAACATTTATTACGATCAATACGGGTTTATGTAAATTCAATATTCAATAAAAAAAAATTGCTGGAAAAATGTACAATGCACATATTTTAAAAATTTTTGTTTCAGTGCTTATCTACAAAAATAGTGATCTAACTATTTTTATATAGTTATAAATATTTTATATAACTAACACCGAATGAAATTGCTTATTAAAAATTACAAATCGAAAATATTTTGTATATTTTAAGTTTAATATGGTATTTTCCAATGCGCATTTTTTCCCGCCTTCTAATTATATACTTTTAAACACTAAGCTTACCTTAGCTACAGTGGCATCTACGTTGCCAATATATTCACCATCAATAATGACGGTACTATTTGCAGTTTTACACATTTGTAGTATATTTTCCCTTAAATATTCGGAAGCGGTATAGTGCAATCCAGTTTTGAATTTGACTAAATAATACTGAGGAGATAATTCTTCAATTTCTATTTTTGGTCGAGCCGAAGAATACAGTACGAATACAATATTTACGGCGATTCCAATTAAAATGCCGTACTCCAAGTTAATCAGCAGACAGCAGACTAACGTTGTTGTAAGAGGAATGAGATCCAGTTCTGAAAAAAAAAAACAAAAAGAATAAAAGTAAAACTGGTGGAATCCCAAATAAAATAGTGGATTGCAAAATATGGCTAGTATATCTTCAATTTAAAACACGTGTCTCAAAAGCGTAGATCACTGACACAGGTACAATTTTATTAGATTACAAGAATATACAGTAACATTAAAATCGATAAAGAAATATATTAAATATTGGTACAATGATTAATTATCAAATTCTAAACTACGTTTCTTCTTCTAAATTTCCTGCTAAAGCCTGGTTTCATAGAGGAAATTAATAAGGTTTTGGAATTGATCTGGCGAGCTGAGAATATTTTGTACCATTCGACTTAAACCTGTGACTTAAACTTTGTGACCTGCCCAGCGCAATCTTTGTATTTTTGCATATTTTTTTATAGAGGGTTCATTGTTATATTAATATAATTCGTGGTTGAGCCTTGCATCGGCAAACGGAAGATTTATGGTTTGTCCAATTTGCCAAAACCACAACTTAGCACGAAAAAATACGCCAGACTCCATATGAAGCCCTGATTGGTGTTAAACAAAAAAGGAGCATATAATGGTCGTCACTGCCTCGTAATATACATAGCATAACTTCGTACTTCGCTGACACTCATTATTTATATTTCTAGTATTTTGTTTATTGCTTGGCTTGAGTATAATAAGGTAGTTTCTCTTCAATTTCCGCATCGCAGTGTCGTGATTACGTGAATCAATGTGTCGCCAGTAAGTGTCTGTTGTCAAATCTGCTAGAGGTCGCTCTAGCAGCCTTGATTCAGTAATCACAATACCTGCTGCCGGTTAATGGTATTTTTTGTTCCAACGATTCTTTAATATAGTTAATCTAGTTTAATCTCTTGAGCTCAATCTCCTCCTTAAATCCACAATTATACCAAGAAATACAAAAGTAAAACTCTACAAAACAATAATACGCCCAGTCCTAACATATGGTTCAGAGACCTGGACTCTAACAAAAAATAATGAAAACATGTTAGGATGTCTCGAAAGAAAAGTACTAAGGCGAATCTATGGAGCAGTGAATGACAATGAAGTGTGGAGAAGATGATACAACTTCGAACTTTATAGAATATACTAGGAACCAGATATTGTAAAACATATTAAGATAGGACGTCTGAGGTGAATTGGGCATGTAATGTGTATGGAACAAAATGATCCAGCTAGAAAAACGTCCCTCACCTTTTATAACATCGATGAAGACATGAGAAATATGGGAATACGTGTTTGACGGAGGAAGACGATGGATAGGGATGATTGGAGAGAAATTCTTGAAGAGACTAGGACCCACACAGGGTTGTAAAGCCAGAATGATAATAATGATGATGATGATGTACCGTCAGGTTGATATCAAATTCTGATTTTTGTGTGCTTATGTAGTTAATTGTAGATAATGTTTCTCTGACCTTCTATTAACCCATTTATGTTGGTATATTGTTACGGTAGCCCTTGGCCTATGATCAAATCGCAGATGGGCTTTCAATGGCTCAGGCCTTCTAGAACCAGGTCTTCATCGACGGTGCCTGCTTTCAATTTTTCCACACCGTTCGATGTAACGGCACCCCGACTTGTCAAACTAGTAAACGATCCGTTCGAAGGTCCGAGAATGATCTAGCTTACGCCATGATGTCCGTAGAGCAAATATATTGATTCCAAACAAAATCTGGATATTTCGAGCGACAGAGCCGGAGTATATATACAGGGCTGAGTGCCTTAAGAACCGGCAAAATAACACAAAAGATAGAAAACACGTTGTGAAATGAAAAGAGATGAAATTAGGGGAGGTGGGAATACATCGATAGAAACCTATAATCTACATTACATTACATTAATACTATCGATAGTTTCCCACCTTTAGACGTTAGCTTATGAGCTACTTCAGTCATAATATACGTATGACGTCGAACATTACCATTTTTTAATTTCGCATAAAATAGAAACTGATTGAAGACAATAAAGCAAATGTGAATAAAAACAGTTTAATTAGTAGTAAGTTTTTAATCCGAAATTAAATTATTGATCAAGAACAATCTCTACTATGATTTGAGACATCGCATACACTCTTGTCAATATAGAATTATCGTAGCTTGGTGGTTTAGTGGTGAGGATATCGTACTTTCACGCGGACACTCGGGGTCGAATCCCACATGAGATAACTTTTTTTAATGTATGATTCATGCTCATTTATCGTAATAGTTAGTAATCTTGAGGTTTCTCCCACATAAAAATTGTTGAATTCACAAGGTATTGTACACATACAGTTCTTTGACCTCTCCTGTATGTTGTTTGATTTGGTTTTGGACAGAATAGATCTCGGTGTGTTGGTTGTTTTGAACCTTTTTATGATATTGTATTTTTCCCATCATTTTTAATTTTTCGGTTAAGCCCTTTACATTATTAAGTGAATTATTGTGATGTATGAATTATATTCTTGTAAACTTTCAGAACAATTTTCTGTTTATGTTTCCAATGTCTTGAGTAGTTTATAAAGAGTTCACATCTTTAATATCAGCGTTAAAAAATGTACAGCGGAGTTTAAACGTGGTGGTAAACGTAAAGAAAGTAGCCATAAGTAAGGACAGTTAATTCGTAAGAAAATCTTCTCTTTGCTGCAAAATTTTACACCAACAGTTAGTATGACAATGCATTATACAAGAAGATTGTTGCATTGGTTAAATGCTCATCAGAAAATAAACAATTAACTTTTTTAGTAATATTAATATGATTTTAAGAACAATGAAACCAATTTTTCATTTTGAACACCGATTTCTTACAACGGAGGATATGTTATTCGCTACATATTAGGCTACTTTAAAATCCTGAAAGAAAACAACAATCAGTGGAATCAACTACCTATGAAAGAGCTAAAAAAATGAATGGCGAATATTATCCCCATCTTGACAAGCTTTATCCAAAAATTAGGGAGAAAGAGCCTGGTTTGTGAACGAAACCACTCATGCACCCTCTCCCAAAAGCGTTCGGTAGTAAAAAATTTGGGTGATTTGAAGTATGAATTACTGGACATTTCTCCAGTCTCCAGATTTGGCTCCTTCTATCTTTAATTTATATCCAAAAGCTTAAGAAATATGTGATTAGAAAATATTTTGGGCCAGACAAAAAACCAATGTGTCCGAATTTATTCCACCAGCGAGATGCTTCGTTGGCAGGATTTGCTTCAAAAATCTTGTTAAAATGGGTACTTTTAAAACCTATGCAAATAAATTTCATCATAATTGGCGTTTGTTATATTTAGTAGAAAGCTGGATTCACTAATGTTCCTGACCGGATTCAATATTATCGCTGATCGTATTCGTTCGCAGTGTTGCCTACTTCTTTTCGAAACGTAGCTTTACGCAGTGTCGCCTACTTCTCTTCTAAATGTTAAGAGCGTTTTATAAGAAAAAAAACTGTAACAATAATTGAATCTTAAGATAAAAATACTTACTTTTTGATTTCCACAACAGTGAAAAAGCAGCAAAATCACACAGATAGTACATAGCTACCATTATAACACCAGCTAATGTACTCTTTGGAATGTATTGAAAAGTAGAGGTCAAAAATCCGAGAGCGAGTAGTACCATGATACCTGTAATGATCCCACATGTTGGAGTCTTTGCGCCAGATGCGTTATTTACTGCTGTTCTCGTAAAGGAACCTGTTACAGGCATTGATTGAATTAACGAGCCCATGATGTTGCAGATTCCCAGAGCTAACATTTCTTGGGTGGCGTCTAAAGATCTACCCTTCGCTAAAAAAAAGCATACATTATAATATGAATGATTTTATTATGTTAATAGGTACATACGAATGCTACTATAAAGTTTTGGAATATATCAATACTAGTGTTGGAACATAACATCTGATCTCAGTATAATGAGGTCTGGCATTTTAGTGTATTTGTGACTTTAAGTTCTTTGTTACATTGGGCGTAAAGTTCGTCTTGCATATTTCTGGCCATATTTAAAAATATACACTGTTGTATCTATCTTATCCAGTCTGTAGTTTTTTCTTTTAATTGCTGTATTGTCAACGAATGGTTATATAGGAAACCCATAGTTTTAGCATACTCCAAATAAATGCTTCCAATAATGTTAATTCAGAGTGAGATGTAAAAGAAAAATCTGTAAAACGTGAAAGCACACTATTTCCAAATGTATCTTGCAAAAAGGTTTTTGTTGCCAGTGTTGTGTGACATATTGCCCTATCTTGCTGAAAGAACTAACTAGAAAGGGTAAGTTTTTTTTATCTACAAACCGTCTGAAGTTCCCAACAAGCGATGTGAAAACTTGAGTAATACGTTTTTTTAATGAAGTAAGGCACAATAATACCTAGGCCAGAAACTGCGTTATCAGAATTTCTGTCTAGTTTATCAGTTTTTCACTATGAAAAGAAATTCCTTGCAGCCCTTTAGATCGTTGGTAACCTAAAAATTTATCGCTACAAGTACCTATTGTAAACAGGTTGTTAATATGTAATTTTATTGCTTTCCGCGACAGTTCCATCAATATCTTAGTAGTTTTCAGATTATAGACAGAAAGCTTTTTGAGTTATAACTAGGGTTATTTGAAATTAATTATTTTATCGATTGTAAAAGGTTCGACCAACATAAATCAACAAAAAAATGAAGTTAAATCGTGAACATATCCTTGTGATGTGTTTTTTATGACTTTCGACGTTATGACACCTATATAAATTTAAATTTAATAAATTTAAAAATTTAAATTTAATAAATTTAAATTTATTTAGCTCTAGGACGTATTTTATAAACATTCTCCGAAGTCTGGCGGTTAGACCAGAAAATATAGACACTATGCTATAACTAATATTGTAAGATCTTTATGTGACATGTGAATACAACCTGAGCAAGAGTTAGAAGTTTTAGTTTATGTTACTTGTCCTCTCTAGATCTCTCAGAATTTGTCATTAACTACTGGAATTGACTAATCTTCAACCATGAACTTCCACGATCCAAGAAAGTTTGTACCGTAGAAAACGTAGGAGACGGAAATAAAATGAAGACAACTCACTAATCCACTGCTCGTAAGGAGAATTCAGGTATAGGATATGTCATTAACTACTGAAATTGACCAATCTACAATGCTGAACTTCCACGGGATTATACAAATCAGTTTATATTGCAGGAGTAAAAAACGAAATGAAGACCTTTCACTAATCCACTAGTCGTATGTGGAACAGATTCTGTCATTAACTACTGAAATTGACCAATCTTCAACAGTGAACTTCCACAAATTTACCCAACTACGTTTTACAAGGCGGGAGAAGAAAATAAAATGAACACCATTCCCTAATCTACTACTCATAAAGAGAAGCATGTTACAGGAAGCATTGGTGCAGGATCTGTCATTGACAATGTGGTATTGACCAATGTTCAACAGTAAACTTCCACAAGCTTATCTATGTTTGCACCGTGGGAGAAGAAAATAAAATGAATACCATTCACTACTCTACTATTCACAAGAAGTATGTAGTACAGGATCTGCCATTAACTACTAAATTGACTATTCTTCAATATTTAACATACACGGGCTTAGACAACTAAATTTATATCGCAAAACAAGAAAACACAATAAAGACCATTCACTAATCCACTAATCGTAAGAAGTACATGCACAAAATTCAATATGGCTTTCTAAACAGCTGAATGGGAGTCGGTTTTCTTTGCCACCTTGTAGTCATGATCTAAAGCCAATGAATTATTATATTTTGAAATCATATTAAATTTACTATTTACTTCAAAACAATGTATAATCGTTAACAATTGTGAAAAACTTTTCAGAACGCTGTTTATCTAACTACTTCTTCCAAGACACAAACATTATTTAAGTAACTAAATTTTTTTTATGGTCTTGACGTAGCCAATGACCAGGCTATTTGTAATTTGTATTTACACATCTACTATCTACCTCATTTTCTTAAATATATGTTCGATGTGTTTTCATACAAGTTACAACTATAATCAAAAATTGGTCATATTCTAGAACGATAAAATATTTAACTAATGTTAGGATCTGCACCCTAGTTTGTTTTACAGAAAGCTCTTAGGATATTAATATCATTTTCGGGTTTTTTTAATGGCATGCTCTATTCTGTATGATTTTTCCACAAAAGTTTTCTATCAAAATAAGTTCCAAGATATTTGACACAGTTTTTAATCACAAATAAATTTGTATTGACCTAATAAATACCTAATATTGACGTAATAAAGTATACCATCATCTGAGAATTGGAGTATTTTGTCTTATTTGGCACAATCTCTTCTAAATTTATATTATATGAAACATATAAAAGGGGTCTTAAAATACTACCTTGAAGTAGGCCTATATTGATAAACTAGTCTCTTTGCAATCAAAGTTGACTTGCACTGATGCTACTAGACCAGTTATAGCATTCTTGGGTAGACTTAAACTTACTAAATCCAAATTGGAGTAGGGAAGAATATCACTTAATTATCACAGTGTTGTAATATATTTTTAATTAGTATTTCAAAGGTTTTAAGAACACAAGATATTCTTTCCAGCTCTCTTGAATTGGTGCTTATTTCTGCCAAATATTATTTAGAACATTGAGTGGATATATTTTGTGTTCGTTTGTCAGATTAGAGATCATAAAATAAAATATATTGTCTTTACTAGAAACAGTAGGTATTATTATTTTGATTGAGGACCCTTCCTAGTTCCCATAGGTAAAAAGGACGTTCTAAGTGAAGGTTATCTCTAGAAATAGTAACTATCGAATTCGAAATATCATTCGGAACCTAAACTAGGAAAATTTTCTGTAAAACTCTGTTATCCATGATTCGCCTGGATCAATAGGTAAATTATTGGATTGTTTTTGATTTTTAAAGAAATTTACTTTTCTCCATGCCTCTTTAATAGGAGAATTTTAATTAAGACTTTCACAATACTCCCTCTAGTTTTTTTTCCTAAAAAGTTTTCTTCGCTAATATATCCACCCTTTTATATTCCATTATTTATTACAATTAAGTTAATTTTCTGTGTCATGCTGTTTCCTGACACGTTTTATCCTACTACGGTTTTGGAATATGATGTTTATTAGTAGTATTTGTGTATTTTGTTATTACTCTATTGGCTGAGTAGTAGAGGTTTTCAATTAGCGTCATACATTCTGGATGGGTTTAGAGAAGTAGTTGTTTGACCCGTAGGGATCTTGAAGAAAATTCCAATTCTTAGTAACTAAATAATACGTCGTACTGAAATACCTAATACTGAGAGATACCTTTTACTATTTCTGTTTGTTTCAAAAATTAATTGATGCAAAAAATTTATTGCAAACGATATTTTTATAAATGTAGAAACACTAACATGTATGAATACTAAAAACTTTGAATACTTACAAAAAGCCTTGGCGATGGCAATATGTTCTAGGACGGCAATTAATGGACAAAATATAACTACTGATCCATATTCATTCAACATATCTTTGAAAGACAAATGTGTACCATTAAAGTTAGTACTAAATGGCGGCAAACCGAAAGACGGCAGTCCTCCTTTGACTTCACCTACAATAAAATTAAAATATATATTTAAACATCCATACTAACACACAAGACACAATATTGCATGCTTTCAATTATAAAAAAATATGATTTCTATGCATACAATTAACAATTATTACTAACATCTGATCCGGACAGAGTTTAATAATATTGTTCTGAAACTATTTTCTTGGGGGATCTTAATACAATTTGGTAAGTATTTTTATTGGGAATAAGCACAAATTTTACTTTATTCGACGTTTCGATTCCTACTTTTTAAATCATTCTCAAAATACAAAACATTAATAAATTAAAGAAATTTTGTTTTTGTTACTTGTTACAAAATTATTATTCTTATAATAATTTAATTTTATCTGACACCTTTATATTGACAATATTTTGAAGTTGCGCTGCTAGGACGACTTTATTAGCATATAGATCATTCATAAACTTTAAAATAACATACTTACATATAAAATCATAGTTTGATGTTAATATTGGGAGTAAACTAAATGTAAGATCTAAAACTTACCAAGTCGGGATAGTATCATGAGGTTTTTGCCTGGTTTTTCATCATGATTTTCTATGGGATCACTAACAGGAGAAGTTTATATATAACATATTATTATATGTTATAATATATAACAATATATAACAATATTATTTTAAAGTCATCCGCTTTAGAAGGCATAATATATGTCTGAATTGTCAAAATGAATGAGGATGAAATTAAGATAAAATTAAATTATTAGAAGAATTCTTTTACCAACTAACAAAAACACAATTTACTAATTTATTAATGTTTATATTTTGAGAACGATTTTTGAAGTTGAAATCTTCTTCTTCTTCTCCTTCTTCTTCCTTCTTGTATGTAGGCTTTAAAGTCTGTTTATTCTTTAATATTAGCCTCCTAAATTCTTTAAATTGTCGCACCATCTTTTTCTTGGTCTGCCAATACTTCTTCGACCATTTGGTGACTTATCTCGTGCTATTCGTACTATTCTATCCTCTGTCATTCTACTGATGTGTTCGTTGCACTCCTGTCTTCTATATTCATGTCTTCTATATTGCATGCTATTCTTATGTTTTCGCTTCTCTACCTATCCAACAGACTTTTCCCTGATATTCGTCGGAGTATTTTCATCTCTGTTGTTTCTAGTAGTCGTCTCGTTTTATGGCTCCTCTACACATCGGCAGATGCGTCCGCGGACGACATCTACGTATGCATCAGGAGATGTGTAGATGGGGTAATTTGATCATCTGTTGTTTATATATCACGTACGCGGGTGCGTCTGCAACATATCCGGTTGTTGTCGGTTTTTTTTAGCACAGATCAAAGGGTTTCGGTGCGGATGTCCGACGCCTTTCCACACATCTGACCTCTGACTTCTTATTTTCCATTTTTTTAATGATTCTATTTCTATATACACTCAAGTATTAGTTGAACGTTCTAAATAGGCATATTTAGGTGCGGCAGCTATGGTCTCAACATCAACATCCATTTTTTTAATGCTCGCGTAGATATTGCGTCTCACGGGAATTAACACAGACTGAACGATTTACAGATGTGTCCAGATGTGTGGTCAGCTTGTGATGATACATCTGCAAATGCGTCCGCAGAGCAAACGCGTCTGCCGATGTGTAGTGGAGGCATTAGATGTGTCAGGTCTTGTCTCCGCCGTGTATGTTAGTATAGGTTTAATTGCTGCTTTATAGATTCTTATTTTTGTGTCTTTGTTCTTGCAGATTGTGTCATTAAGATATCCTTCCGCTTTACTTGCTTTTAAGCTTTGTTGTCGTACTTCTTCTTCAACATCTCCGTAACTAGCTATATCTATTCCCAGATAACTAAACCTTGCTTCCTGCTTTATTATTTTCCCATCCATTTCGATTTTACACCGTAGTTAATATTTAGATGTCATATATTTGGTTTTTTTGCTAATATTATCATATTGTAGTTCTTAGCTGTTGTATTGAAGATATGTGTTAATCTTTGGAGCTCGTCTTCTGTCTGGGCGATTAATGGGACGTCGTCTGCATAACATAATTTTTGTATTTCTTTGTTCCCCATTCTGTAGCCATGACTTTTACGTATTGCCTCTATTATTTCGTTGATTATTATATTAAAGATAAGTGGACAAACGAGTCACCCTGTCTGACTCTGCTTTTTACTGGTATACATTGTATTAGTTTTCAATTTATCTTTGCCTGTATTAGATTATGGAGGTAGATGTTTTCGATGGTTTGTATTTGGCCTTTGTGAGGTCTATAAACATAGATATGCTGGTTTATTGTACTCGATGGCCTTTTTTGTGACCAGTCTTAGTACAAATAGGGCGTCTCCGCAGGATTTTCCGGATCTGAATCCTTGTTGTTCATCTGATAAAGTTGTTAGTTTATTGATTTTATTGGTGAGAACTTTTGTGGTAAGCTTAAGTGCGGTGTTCAGTAGATTTATACCTCTGTAATTGTTGGGGTCTTCTTTATCTCCTTTGTTGAACATTGGTATCATTATGCTGTTTCTCCATGCGTCTGGTATCTTGCAGTACAATATTAGTTTTTGTATAAGTTTTGTCATCTCTAGGGTTATAATTTCTCCTCCGTGTTTTAGAAGCTCGTTGGTTGTTCCGTCTGGTCCTGGTGACTTTCTATTTTTGAGTGAATTTATGGCTATTTCTACGAAGTGGAAATCAAAACGATAAAATAAACTTATTTCCCTTAAATAAACTTATTATTGTGGCTTATTCCCAATAAGTCTGAACTCACCAGTTGAATGTTTTTATTTTATGGAGTGACGACTATTACCTAAGAATTCGAATTGATTCAGGTTTCTAATTGAAAGGAAGATGTTAGATCTATGCCATATCGATTTTTCTTACGATTAAATATGACCACTGTTCTGAATCCTTTTACTCAATTGCTTTTCTTAAATGGTTTCTTTTCAAATCAACACAAACTATTACCAAAAGAATTGTAAATAGACGTATCCTTTGTTTATATTTACAGGAAAATATTAGACATATGCCGATGTATACAGAACTACCTATAGAAGAAGGTACAAACATTGTACTAAAAAAAGTACATATTTCATGACAACACATCTTCTCTTGGGTTTTGAAAATTTAGTAATTAAAGATTGCTACCAAAAAAACTGGTTACATTGAAAAAAAAAAAAGAAAATATATAATTAAATCCACTATAAAAGTACATACTAAAAAAATCAGCCAAAAAAGTAATGTAAAAAAACATGAAATATATTAAAATGTACATAAATGATCGTTTATTTTAAATGAACATGTGAAAATATCATAAGTATCAAAATAGCAAGATTAAAAAAAAATGAATTGGATTTATTGGCGATTTAAACGAACTATAGGGGAATATATAAGATGGAATAATGAATAAAATATTGAACACAAAACAAATACCCACCACATGGAACGAGGCGATAACACTATTACTATTTAAGAAAGGCGATAAAAAAGATCTGAAAAACTATAGGCCTATAACGCTACTTAATGTAATGTACAAACTGTTAACTAAACTACTAACAAACAGATTAACAACTAAGATAATTACCAGTCAAGAGAGCAAGCCGGTTTTAGAAAAGGATTCAGTACAAGCGACCATGTGCTTATGATAAAATTATTAATTGAAAAGGCCAACGAATATCAAATCCCAATGTATATGGCATTTGCAGACTTTGAAAAAGCATTCGATAAGGTGGAACATTGGGCAGTAAAGAACTCTTTACAAAATGGGAGAATAGACTATAGATATACGGACTTAATTTCCAATATATATGATTAAGCAACAACATCCATTAAAATAGTTGAACAAACGGAGCCTATTAAGATACGGCGAGGAGTCAGACAGGGTGACACTATATCACCCAAACTATTCAATCAAGCTTTGGAAGATGTTATGAGAAAATTACAATGGGAAAAACGAGGTATTAACATAAATGGCCAATACTTGAATCACTTGAGATATGCAGACGACATTGTATTAATAACAGATAAAAGGAAAGAATTACAAAATATGATGGATGAATTAAATAGCGAATCAACAAAAATAGGTCTACAAATGAATTATAATAAAACGAAAATTATGACCAACCAACCAGAAGAATTAAGAATTACAATTGCACAAACAACTATAGAACAAGTAAAAGAATATGTAGGTATATTTGACCGGCGAAATAAAGAGGAGGATACGGTTGGCTTGGGTATCATTCGGAAAACTTTCCTATATACTAAAAAATAGAAAATACCCCCAATATTTAAAAACAAGAGTCTTCAACCAAAGTATCCTTCCTGTTCTCACCTACGGTTCTCAAACTTGGACGTTTACAAAGGAAAAAATGGACAAAAGTGGAAAGACCCAAAGAGCCATGGAAAGGCAAATGCTGAACATCAGGCTATCAGATAAGAAAAGAAATACTTGGATCAGCAACAAAACAAAAGTGACCGATGTATCAACGCAGATAGCGAAACTTAAGTGGAAGTTCGCTGGACATACCATAAGACAGAAAGACGACAGATGGAATTAGATGATTATACACTGGAGACCATATAGTTACAAACGAAAAAGAGGAAGGCCACAAATGAGATGGTCAGATGACTTTAAGAAACACGCAGGCCCGAAGTGGACACAAACGGCCTACAATAGAGAGACGTGGAAGGAGGAAGAGGAGGCCTATGTCCAAAATTGGACAGCAAGGGCTGTATAGATAGACAGATAGCCTACCTGTTAGTTTGAAGGGTGTTTCTCCATTTTGCTTATATATGTAGGCAAGTACACTACAAAATAAGACTACAAGGGCATTACTTGCCAATGAAAACATAAAAATAGATATTCCAAAGATATTTCTTCTTCTTGACCAATCGGATCGTCTTTTTAATGAACCAAATCTTCTGATTTCCTAAAAAATAAAACATTTTATTATAATAGAAAATATTTTTTTTTGACATCTATAGATTATAATATTATTAGATAACATTTTATTATCAAATCCCCCCGATAGCGCAATGATTAAAGATCTTACCGTAAACGTTTGAGGTTTCGAACCTTAGATGGCATGAGATATTTATATTAAGATAATTTTTCATGTGCGGTCTTTCGGCACTCAAGGCGCCTTAATAATTCGAATGTACTAAATGACTAATAAGGCAATTACTCAATACATAAAAACTTTTGAAACGTTTGAAAAATAATAAAAGGGAAGGGACTAAAAAAAAGAAAACTATAATGTTACTTTCTGCTAATAATTATTTTTTGTATAGATACTAGTGATTAGTGTTCTCAAAGAAATTATATCAGAAAACTCAGTAGTTTTCTGATATAATTTCATTTGTATAAATTTCATCTGATATAAAAGTATCTCATCGTTCACCATCTTGTATATCTTACATTTTATATTTTTTTCTAAGACTCTGTAAGAGTACAAGCGCAGTTGAATAAACTGCGACAAATAATTAATTTTAAGATGACTACTTTAGACTGACAAAGAAAACACACAACGTAGAAAAGCGGTATTAAAAGCTGATTATTTGGCAATCATTTTATTATCGTCCATTTCATGTCCAAGTATTCATGTTTTTAAAATATTGTCAGAGACCTTTAGAAAATAAATAAATGCCAGAAGTATCCAAAAATTTTATAATTTTACTAAAAATATTTAGTAACATTATGAGACAATATGAGAGACCAACAGTTACGATGGTAAGAGCAGAAAATCCTCATAGAGTAACGCAGGAATGCAAAAAAAGAACTGGTTGCAGATAGTTAGAAGACAAAACATCGTGAAGGGGATTAATAATGGTATGTAAACCTATGGATATATGTAACTACTGAAGCCTATAACGCTTAGGAATAAAGGAGAACAGAAAGATGATGATAATAAACAAAATCAAGAATAGAATTTTGATATGATACAAACCTTTGCCATCACTAAGAATATAATAGTGAATAATCCCATTAAGGAGTCTGCCAATCTCGTTTGTTTGATGTTTTCAAAAACAGATATCCAAGCAGTCAGGAACGTATCGGATTTTCCAGCGATTCCCAAAAGCGATTTTATTTGAGAAGATGCTATGTTTAAAGCTGCCGCTGTCGTAAAACCTGCTATCACTGGATATGAAAAGAACTCAACTATAAAACCTGAAACCAATAAAAACATACAGTAATGAAGCAATACCTACTACAAAGCAAAACTTATTTACTTTTTTTCTTATTCTTCTATTTCTAGTTCATTTCAAAATATCATTTATTTTATTCATTTATTTTTTTGTTGTATTTACTGTTTATTTTGACATAGTGTGGTGTTATATTTAATATTATTATGCTTTTTTTATAACCTTTAGTGAGTACGCTTTGCAAACTTCGACGAGTGGGCACCTTAAGCTTTTACATCGCAAGTAGGTATAAAATGCTTTAGAAATAACGTTACAACAGTCTATTGATACTAATTCATATACGGAAGGTTTGACGAATTGTGCTCCTTTCTAGATATTCGAGGTTTCAATTTATCAAAGCCGTAGCAAAGCTCTTACTGAAATCTGTAAATCTTTTACAATTTTTGTATAGCTCAAAAAGACAGCAAGTGATAATGGTAAATTGTTATCGCTTAAGGCCATCAAAATAGATGGCGTTTTTTGTATCTTACCACTCGAGAAGTGGGAAATAGTAGGACAATTCGCTGACTTTCCGTGTAGCAGCTTGTATTTACCTGACTGGCTGAAGAGGTCTCCGTTCGGCTAGCGGAGATAAGACTACTACCAGGGCCAGATATCCCAGCCGATCATAGGACACGACCAATGAGAAGGAATGAGAGGTGTAGAGCCGTTACCTGAGGTGTCTTGTTTGTAGAAACGCACAAAGGGTATTTCGGCGTTACTATCACCGGTCTATACGTCATAGAATCCGAGACGAGACTCTTGTGGGACCACTCTACTTTCATTCCACATAACCAAAGTGAGGTTGAACGAGCTGCGAAATTTACGAGTCCTGTCCACCATTAACAACATAAGATTGTGGCATGTACCCACTATTGGACAAGAGTGGTAGAGGAGACTCCTCGACGGCTACCTACTTGTCTACGTGCGAGGTCGGGTTCTCCTACCTGCGTTCATCTTTTCGCTCCCGGAGAGGGAGTCATAATGAAAATGAACGGGCGTTCGTAATGCAACACAGGTACTACGGGATGGAGCCCCGCGATGCTTTATGCAATGCGCCACCCTCAAATGGTGTCGGACTCGTAGGGGTAGTAGTTTCGCTTGTGGTCTTATGCCGAAAGCTAGGTGGACCTGGGTCCAGCTGATGCTTTTATGTAATAATATCGGGGGTCCCACAAATAAATACTTACGTATTTATTTCTAGGACTTTAGACTTCTATTATAGTTCTTTCTGCCGTTTGTGTATCACTTAATGGTATTTTTGTTGGGCTCAGAAATAGTTTAGTTTTCCCATTCGTTTTTGTAACCTAACTTTGTAGTAAATTCATTCAGACTTATACTTCTTATAATAGTCTTTAAGTTGTCTCTCCCCTTTAGATACATTAGCCTCATTTGGCTTATTTGCGGCTTATACATATGTAAACGTCCCTTCAGATCCAGGTCTTAACGTAAATAAATGAATGGCCGAGTAAACAAGGTCATAAAACTGTTCATGATTCATTTGTGAATCTTGTGACTTTATTTATTATTTATAAATGTTTATTTAACACTTAGTTTATTAGAGTTTTTATTTAATTTATATAAAGTCTTCCAATAATTTATTTACACTATTTACGCGATTCTAATTTATATATTACATTTCCGCGTTACAATTCAAACTCGATACAACTATTCAGACTAACTGTTTACCTACTAAAAAACACTTGTTAGAATAAAATGTTTACAGCTCAAATATGAGTCATATTTATCGTAACAATACACTTACCTAAATTAAAAAGTCCACATAGGAAGATAATACAACCGGACAGGAATGTTATCAAAATCCCTCCTGCAACTCCCATGGCAGTTACGTAGGGCTGTATCATTAATGCCATAATCGCCGTAGGTCCAATATTAATGTCTTTGCAGCTACCGAGAACAAAGTACATGAAACAACCCATGAATCCAGCGTAGAGCCCATATTGAGAAGGAAGACCTAAAATTAATTAATAAAAAGATTGATATGCTTTTGTACACACTTATGACAAATAAATAAATATAAAAAAAATTCGATAATTTAAAAAAATCTTAATTTTCTAATAAAATATGCCAATTTTCATCTTTGAAGTATCATTTAACTCTTTCCAGACCAAATTATTATTTTTTTCAATAATTTTGTTGAAAAAAAAAATGTAATAGAAAACGATACAAGAAAAAATAATTGTTGATATGTAAATATGTAATTGTTTTTATGTAAAAATTTTGCATCCTAGAGTCTTCAAACTAAAAAAAAATTGATCCCATTTGGAAGCATCTGGCATTGGTGGTACCTGAATTACCAGTTTATAACACTTGATATAGTGGTCTGGTAAAAAATTGACTAATAGGAATAATGTTTATTATTGCACACTATTATCAATTTAATTTTGTACATGGAAACTATAAAAACAATTTTTATTATTGCTTAAACATAAAAACATTGCACTTAGAACATTTTATTCTAGAGTAAGATTTTATACATAATTTGCACCTTGTGCCATTTTGATCATGTAGTGGCCAGTGTCCTACGTCATCAAATCGAACATCTTGCACTGGTGCAGGATGCATTACTTGTCTTATTTGGTGTATTCTATTGAGAAGGACGCCCTCATGTTCTCGTATCGGACTTTCTAGCTTTCAGTAAGGCATTTCCAACTTGAGATTTGAATTGGAGAAGAGTGATGTGTTTCACTTGTTTTTGTTTGTAGTGTCTTCGGTACAACAACCAGGAGTTGACAATACATGTATCAATAAGATTCAATATTATTTTCAAAGAGAATCTTTTTGGTTTATTTTAATTCTATGTAGTTCCACAAGCGTGTCATGCAAATCGACACCTCCCATCGAAATATTATATTCTTTGACTATTGCTGACAAATTCGAACATTTGCAGTATTTAAAAAATACTCTTGGTTTCGATTACCACTCATTTTATGACAATCTCCCTCACTAACTATGGTATTTTAAGTCCTATCACATCACTGTTGTACTACACTCGTTTTTTTACATATTTATGCGATTTTATTTTAAATTTATTTTAGATTAAAATTTTATTTATTGTTGTTGAAAAGTGAGGCTATTTTTCATTTCTAACGTAGGTAATTTAAATAACACTAAATTTTATGTTAAACCTTTTTCAACATTTTTTGTTCTGTATTTCATTATTGAAATTTGAAACATGAAATCATTCATGAACTAAAATCATGAACTAAAATCAATGCTACAAGATTTAAATCACAAATCGAATCAAATAGGATTAAAAATGAATCTCGACAAAACAAAGATATTAAGCAACAGCCTAGAAAACATCACGATAGATAACATCAATATAGAAAAGGTAGAACAATATATATATCTAGGACATGCAATTAAAAACGAAAAGGAAAATCAAACCGTAGAAATTAAAACAAGGACACAATTATCATCGGCTGCTTTTGGTAAGTTGAGCTTCATTTTAAAAGACAGAAAAATCCCAATTCACTTAAAACGAAAAACCTATGACACTTGTATACTACCAGTTGCAACTTATGGATTGGAAACTATGGCAATAACAAGAAAAATGGCAAAACAATTAAGAGTAACTCAACGGGCCATGGAGAGGGCCATGTTAAATATAAGCTTCAGAGACAAAATTCCTAACACCGAAATACGTCGAACAACTAAAGTAACCGACATCATGGGAAAAATAGCGACATTGAGATGGCAATGGGCAGCACATGTAGCAAGACAAGACACCAACAGATGGTCTCATAAAGTGACATTCTGGAGACCTCGAGAAACAAAAAGAAGCGTGGGAAGACCTAATAAGAGATGGATAGACGATATAACTGCTGTCGCTGGAAAGCAGTGGATGAGAATTGCAAAAGATGGGGAAGCATGGAAGCAATTGGAGGAGGCCTATGTCCAACATTGGATAAATGAAGGCTGAAGAAGATTTCATTATTAGGATATTTTTTATGTGTGTCAGATAATATGTTTTATAAATCGATAACTAATGCTTTTTATTACTTTTTTCCAATCCAGCGTTACAAAGAATGCCACGTAACTCCATAAGCACGTCTCATTCCCAAAGAAGAAAAACCTGTAACTCCCACTTTTCTGTATTTTTAGCTATATCCGCTAGTTTTTAAAATTAAAATTGATATAATTCAGCTTAATATGACTTAAAAACTCAAAATATAGTTGTTTAATCGTTCTTCTTTATCAAATAAAAGATATCCGTGAAAATGTTACTGTTTTTAGGCTCTCTTGAAAAATTAAGGAAAATGGAGTTACGAGTTTTTCTTGTGTTGACGATTGTGAAATACTGGATATTAGTGACTGTCAATATAAACAAACAACACAGTTTATTAGGGTTGCAGTCAGAATATTGGCCGGAATTTGGCAAAAGAAAAGAACCATTCAAAACGTGTTTTTTTGGAAATGTGTTTCATAAAATCTAGCACATCTTGCATCAACAAAAAGTCCGACATAGACAAATTAAGTAACATTTATTGTTATTTACTAGAAAAACACCAAAAATAAAATAAATATTTACCGGTACACAAATTACACCTCTGTATAATATGTTGCATACCATTAAGACAGGTTTAAAAAGTATAGTCACCTAAGAAGGGCCTCTAGTATTTCTTGTAAAGAAAGATAACATCAATTACACCTAATTACACTGTTTTTTCTTTCCATTCTCTGTATGAGTTAATATACACCAGTAAAACATGCCATCAATCAAGTTTTGCTCACAAAATGCTTACAAAAATAATCTCAACGACTAGTAAGTTACACTGAAGAATTGTGATATTTTTTAAATATTTACATAATTGTCTTTTACAGTGTCTTGAAAAAGGAATAAAACCATTCCGAAAGCTCGACAAAAAGTCAAAAAAGTGTTTTTTTAACATCCCGGCCAATATTCTGACTGCAACCCTAATAAACTGTGTTGTTTGTTTATATATATATATATATATATATATATATATATATATATATATATATATATATATACAAAAGGAACATTTTTATTCTCGAGAGAGGAAGAGAGAGTAAATATATCTTCTGTCTCTCTTTTACTCATTATCTTAGATATGTAATGGTTTCACAGACTCACTCTCATGCAAATTTCCAACGCCGACCGTGCGTATAGAAGTATAACTTCAAAAATAAAAAATGTAAACCGTAAATTACTTTAGTTGATACTTAAAGTTTCCCGACACACAAAATGGTAAATAAAAAGATCTGAGGCTAGAACCTGGAACCGAATCGAGTAGGTCATTGTTTCGTTTATCTAAAAATTAACTTTACAAAATTACATGTTACTCCCAGTAACTTATTTCAAAGATTAACAACATTGGGTGGTTTAGTACAAAAAACTAAAAATAGTACTCTTAAAATTGTTGCTTATTGACAATCAAAACAAGCAAATTTAGTAATAAAATCTAATATCTCTAATAAACCAAAAAAAAACAAATTATCAATATAAAATATTTTAATGTCCACAATTAAACGTAAAAAAATTAATAGTCAATAATAAAACTTAATTGCACTCACATTATGATAAAGTCACTCTTCTGAAGGAAAAGTATTATTATACTAAAGCATAAAGAAGAAATAGGAAATTGGCATTTAAAGCCCTAAGAACAGGTAGGTTCTCTGGATGTAGGCGATAAAAAGCAGATATTTTTACCTTCTTCTGCAAAAATATTGACAAAGGAGGCTGGCCTGGACATTGGGAAAGGAATCCCAGTGGAACATTGATGATAAAAAGGGTCTGCAGTAAAAACTCACATCATAATATGTGAGTTCTTGATCACAACTAAACTATATAATACCGTCTAAATGCATCTTGATTGGAGACTAAAAATTGACAGACTGAAATAGGGTTTTGCTATTTCTTTTATAACTTTTTCATAAGAAACATATTTATTATTTCCGGAGATTTTTAAAGTGAATTTTTCATACCAGAAGTAATTTATTATGAAAAGAGAACTTTTAAGTCCACGAACTTGACATATTCGAAGTGATAAAAAATTAATTTCTAGAATTACTCCCGTTAAAATTTAATTAAATCCCGTTTTATACCAATTTCGGCGAGGTCTAGTGATTGTTTGAATATGCATTCAGAGTACATATTAGCAGAGTACAAGTTAAAGAGCAATGGAGACATGACATAGCAGTACCAACAAGATATAAAAACATGATAAAATCATCAAAAACGTACCCAGGTGCCGATGCTCCTACGGACCACAATTTGTTGGTATGCAGAATGGTCATGAGAGTAAAAAGGCTCGCGAAAAGATCTAATTTAAACACAATCGATATTAAAAAACTCACTAACCCAGAAAGCGAAATAAAAGTACGAGAACAACTAGGAAAGAAAATAAAGGTCATTAACGAGAACACGTCGGACATAATAGAGGGATGGGATAAATCGAGGGAAGCAATCCAAACAACATGCGCGACTCTATTAAAGCGTGATCGACGGAAGAAGAAAGAATGGATGTCTGATGAGATAATGGATATGATGGATGAAAGACGTAAATTCAAGAATAAAAATGCAGAAAAATACCAGCAGATCCACAAAACCATAAGAACGAAAATTCGAGAAGCCAAACAAAAATGGTTTTCCAACGAATGCAGGGAAATAGAACAATACGAACGAAAATACGACAGTTACAATATGCACAAAAAAATAAAATCGATGACAAACAAGAGGAAATTCCATAAGTCACCCAACAGCATAAAAGATAGCGATGGAAATCTTATCTCGGAGCCATCAACGATCTTAAAAATATGGAAATCATTCATAGAAAAATTATTTGCATCTGACAGGACTGATGATCACCTATATGGAGAAGGAGAAACAGGACCTTCAATCCTTAAATCGGAGATAGAAGATGCTATTGCAGCACTAAAAAACAATAAGTCAGCAGGTCCGGACAATGTACCCTGCGAAATATTAAA